TTATATTGGCTTAGTATAGCTGAAGTCAAATCTGGGTCCCATCAGGAGAGAGAACCTATATAATAAAACTGTGATCAAGGAAAGATTAACTTTAGTAATTACTAATTACAACAGAGGTGTAGCATGATGATGAAAAGTAATAGATGTGTAGGAATAGTTGATACCTCTAAGGCTGACGTAGTGTCCACAGCCAGCTTCTATGCTTGGTTGAAAATCTGTAGGCCATAGCTTAGTGATAGAATATTTACTTGACTGTTATGAGATCCTAGTCTTAATCCCCAGCATCAGAAATAAAACTAAAGTCTGCTTTTTGATGTGTTGAGGAAAGCTGTTCATAGATAGTACCTCAGTGGAGGTACTCTGCAGCAACCCTGTTCCAGTGTGTGTAGGGGTCACCAAGTGCTATGAATGAATGAATACATAGCAGCCAGGCCCTGAAGAGTACTAAGAGCTCTGCGAGAGCCTGATGCTGGAAAAAGTGGCACCTACTGCTTTCAGATGAGCATTCCAGAACCAGGAAGCAAAGCCCTTCTGCAGTGTCTCTTCCATACCCTTTTCTGACATAGCCTTAATGCTGACTGCAAGGGAAAAATCCAAAGGCCTAGGTACATTTTCACAGAAGAGGCCAAAAGGTCAAGTTTGGAGCTGAAAAAGCAGCGAGTAAATTGATAACCCCTTTACCATAACCCAAAGCTAGCCAGCAGCTATTTTTTCTTTTTTCCCAAAAGATTAACTATTGGCAGAAAGCATATACTTGTTCCAAAGTCCAGAGTTCTGCACTTTGAGTGAGTCTCCTACTGGTGTTTGTCAAAGACTGTACAGTATTCCTGTTTGCCATGGATACTTCAAAATAGCAGTGGATCTTTAGGATCATAAGACCAAAGGATAGAGTAGGTCATTTTGTAGCCTGTGCTTGTTCCAAAATCTTGAGTACTTGTTCTCCCTTTTAAACTTTTCACCTTATGCTCTGAGTGTACATGGGTCAGACCAGTATAATCCCTATGGTTTATGCACCGTTTTGTTTGAATATGGTTGTTGGAATGGACAGTAGCTTGTCGTTTATTTTGGAGGAGTTTTTTTTTTTTTTGATCCAGTTGTGGGGCCTGAACTCTGGGCCTGGGCACTGTCCCTCAGCTCTTCAGCTCAAGGCTAGCGCTCTACCACTTGAGCCACAGCGCCACTTCCGGCTTTTTTCTTTTTGCTTATGTGGTGCTGAGGAATCGAACCCAGGGCCTTGAGCATGCAAGGCAAGGTGCTCTACCACTGAGCCACCTTCCCAGCCCCTTGGAGGAGATATTTTGAATCTCAGCCATTGCCATCTCCCAAACTTGAAACTTCACTGAAATGACAGTCACTTAAATTGTTTTGGGGGGTTCAGCTTCTCACCAAAGCATTTAATGTACTTCCTGCTCATCAGATCTAACCAGCATAGTATCATCAGTGTATGTAATGGGCTGGTGGGTTGTGTGGGAAGTCCAGATTATTAAGATCTCTGTGGTCAGACACAGCGGCACACCATGTAGTCTCAGCTATTGGAGAGGCTAATGTGGGAGTAATAGTTGAGCCTAGGAATTTAAGACTGGTCTGGGCAGCAAAACAAATGAAATTTTGCGGGCTGTATTATATGTATTATATACACCAGGAGAATTGACAATTCTGGGTACCACTGTGAAGGCTTTCTTTTGACTCTGCCAGACAAAAGCAAATTACTTTTTGTGATTCTTACAAATTGGTGTCGACAAACCCCATTTGATACTAGCTTGGTAGCTGTATACCATGTACCAGAGGTTCTGCTATATCAGTGAAGATGCCTCATCTGGAAGGCAGCTTCAGTTGGAGTCACCATCCAATTAAGCTGATGATAATCCATAGTCATTCTCCAAGGGTGAACCTCTGCCCAACTTTTGTGTCATCCTCTTATATAGTCTGTGGCAATGGAGTTTGGGGACCATCTGTCAGGCTGCTGACGTGTCCTGTGAGAGACATAGGGCTGTGAGCAGGAGCCTGGCTTGTGTGCCCTTACAGCTATAACCACAGAATGCCTTTTCTCTTTTGGAGGCCTCAGTTTCTGGCCAGAATGTGAGCCACAGATGAGGAAGTAAATTCATGCTCTCGTACCATAACCCCAAACTAGAAGTCACAGAGGATCAGAAAGACCCAGAGCATTTGTATCAAAGACTTTTGTGTCTCAACCCTCCCCCACAGCAATGGAATAGAAAGCTTACTCTGGTACTTGTATGCAATTGTATGTTGGAGGTAAGCCAGCGGGGGAGAAGGGGTTGAGAAAGGTCTGAGTTAAATGTGAAATTATATGTCTTGCTATAGTTCTCTCTGGGAATTGGTAGAATTGTGGGTGTTTCTCTCTTTTGGGGGCTGTAATTTCTAAAATTTTAAACAAATTTAGAATAAGACAAAAGTTCTTATATAAATAGAAGGACATTTCTGGTATTTAGGTCTTTAATGCTAAAGATGTATTTGTTTATTCATTTTGTTGTGGTACCTTCTTTTTGGGGGGGGTCCGGTTGTGGGGCCTGAACTCTGGGCACTGTCCCTCAGCTCTTCAGCTCAAGGCTAGTGCTCTACCACTTGAGCTACAGCGCCACTTCCAACTTTTTTCTTTTTGCTTATGTGGTGCTGAGGAATCAAACCCAGGGCCTCATGCATACAAGGCAAGCACACTACCACTGAGCCACCTTCCCAACCCCATGTTGTGGTACCTTCTTACCATAGATAATCTTGGGAAGAAGGAAGGCAGGAGTTGGTAGGCTAGACTGGAGTGGTAAAGAAGAGATGGGGTTATCTATTCTTATTAAGGCAGGGTGAAGCAGGTCCCAACCTTACTGGCTTCAGGGTGAGCCTTTGGCTCTCACAGCACAGCAAAGGACAGTATCTTTTTTTTTTTTCCCCAGTCTTGGGGCTTGAACTCAGGGCCTGGGTACTGTCCCTGAGCTGCTTTTTGCTCAAGGCTAGCACTCTACCACTGGAGCCACAGTGCCACTTCTGGTGGTTTTTGCTTATGTGGTGCTGAGGAATCAAACCCAGGGCCTCAGGCATGCAAGGCAAGCGTTCTACCACTGAGCCAACTTCCCAGCCCAAACCCAGGGCTTCTTGCATGCCAGGCAAGCACTCTTCCACTAAGCTACATTCCCAGTCCCAGTGTCTTCTTTAGCACATGTGAATAGGACTTTATTAGCAGTGTCACAGAAATTACATTACCTAAGAACTGACCATTGGTATGCACAGTCTCAACTGAGCTTTGAGCAGATAAATCAGCATAAAATCACCTTTGGAATTTCAAACAAAAGTTTGTAAGTTTGCTTTGCAAAAAGATAAAAAGAAATCTGTCCCCTTTGAGGAATGTTGAGGATCAAATAGCGTCTCATGCATGCCAAGCAAGTACTCAATAACTGAGCTACATCCCTAGACTTAGAAATCCCCAAAAAGCAGCAGCTCTCTAATAGCAGAACACTTGAAGCACAGAACTTTGCCTAGTCACCTTTTCATCATGCCTGAGCATGCAGCTTTGCTTACATCATGGGTTGCCTATGGTTTTGAAAAGGCACAATTTGAAACAGTACAATGTTGTTTGTTCCCATTTTCTATTTTGAATTTGGATTTGGAATTTCATAGAAGCATTAACAAAGAACTATAGAAGCTAGTCTCCTAAGTTTGTGGAGTGTGTGTGTGTGTGTGTGTGTGTGTGTGTGTGTGTGTGTGTGTAAAGTAGGGCCAGCTTCTTTCTGTTTGCCCTGCTGAACCTGACACCCAGAGGAGTGTGGTTCTGGTGTGGGGTTGTAGTTAGAGCTGGGATAGACATGGCACATGCTGGGGTTTGTGGTCTTCTAGTGCAAGGTACTGAGAGGAAAGTAGGTGGGAAGGATGCTTGTGGGTGGTAAACTTCCTTTACACTGAGGACAGGGGCCCAAGGCTGGAGGGGGACCGTTGCTGAGATGGTGAGGAGGACCTCTCATTGAGCTGTTACACAGCTGAGGACAGTGACATCCTAGAGAGGGGCTTGTCTAGGAACTCAGTGCCAGTTGAGAACCCAGTTAGGGCCACAGCCTGGCTTCCTTTGCTAGCCCATTGCTCCCTGTTTCAGTGGCAAGGCTGGGATCCCTGGGAGCTTGGGAGAGGCATCTGCCCTTGGGCAGCTTCCTCACATCAGAGCCCCAGCTGTCAAGGATAGGGGGAGTGACGCATTAAACTGGTCCTGAGCCATGGGTCTGGGTTAGAGCAGAGAGCCCCTACTGCCCTTTACAGGTGTTGTATTGGACAAGGTTTCCAGGCAGGGCTGGGCTCTTCCCTCAGATGGAAGAGATGGGTCTGACTCCATGCTGGGATGACAAGGTGTCACTCTTACTCAGTGGCAGCCAGAATGTGTCCTGACCACAGGCACTCACCAAATCAATGTGAAACAATAAGCATAGGTGAACACATCCAGTTGGGGCTGGCTCTGAGCAGATTTCTAAGGTGGCCTAAGTTTGCTTCAAGGTTGCCTCAGGGTCACTTTCTAGGTCCTTCTAAAGGTCATCTAACTCTGCTCCACCCTAAGGTGCTGCCCCTCTCTAAGAAAATGGTGGGCAGGAGGAGAGAAATGGAGCTCCAGGAGGTGGGGTGAGCTGACAATAGTGGCTCTGGCATCTGAAGGGGAGACAGCTTTGGACAGTAGTCTGACTTCTGAGGTCCAGGAAACATTGGCCTTGGCAGAGCAGGTCAGATCCCCCAGGGTCAGCCAGTCTGGTGAACAAGGAAGGTGAAGGAAGGCTTCAGCAGGAGCTAAAGAGATCTTCAACAGGCAAAGTGGTAGGGAATAAAGATGTCCAAAAGGACCTTTTCCTGGTGGTACCAAAAGAGGTCCTTAGGAGTCTGGAGCTGTGCCTAGGAAGGTAGGATGGAGCAGCCTTCAGGACCCACCACCTTCTTCCTCTTGCCAGACACCCTGGAAGTCAAGCCTACCCCATCCCCAGCTAAGACAGACTTACCTGAAGGCTGAGTTCCCATCAGAGATAGGGGCTTCGGAAACACTGGAGAGGGCTGAAGGTGGCTGCACACGCTCCTAGATCCTGTCACAGGAAGAACATTAGAGCCTCAGCTCCCCAATCCCCGATCCTAAAGTCCAGAAAGCAAGAAGGGTGAAGGGAAGGCCTCAGGCGGGAGTTGAAGAGGGCTGGTACAGGGCAAGGCAGGATGAGCAGGGCATGGAGGCCCCCAGAAGGTTAATTCTCTCTCCACGTGGGCCTAGTGCTCTTGGCATGACCTTTTCAGTCCTTCGTGACACTCTCTGAGCCAGAGGAGTTAGAGATGAGTCCTCACTCCATCCTCCACCCACTCAGTGAACACAGCCCCAGCCCCAAGTGCACATAATACCACAGCCTGTAGCTGTCCCTCCCACCCCATAGGTCTTCATTCTGTTGTGATGTTTTCTCTGCCTCTGAGATCACACCTTCTCTATTTGCAAACATGAAATCACCTAGTCCTGCACCCAGAAGCATGAGATCTCTGATAACCAGGAGGGCAGAGGCTCTGCAAGCCAAGGGAAGTCTAGATGGAGAGATGGATGTACCTGGCAGATGGTATGGGCATCCGAGGCCTTGGGCCACAGGGCCAGCAGTTGGAGGGTGTGCTGCTCCACAAATTGCTTGCACTGAGGAAAGACAAACATGGAGTGGGTATGCCAAAACCCATGACAAGACATTCTTGGCCACTGTACCTTGTTTTTTTTTGTTTTTTGTTTTTTTTTGTTTTTTGGGTCCGGTCATGGGGCCTGAACTCTGGGCCTGGGCACTGTCCCTCAGCTCTTCAGCTCAAGGCTAGCGCTCTACCACTTGAGCCCCAGCGCCACTTCCGGCTTTTTTCTTTTTGCTTATGTAGTGCTGAGGAATCGAACCAGGGCCTTGAGCATGCAAGGCAAGCGCTCTACCACTGAGCCACCTTCCCAGCCCCGCCACTGTACCTTGTTGGGTCATGCCAGGCACCTAACCATCAGCCCCACTGAGCAGCTCTGACTGCAAGTAAAACCAAAGTCTGAAGCTTTCTGTAGGAAAAGCATGGAGCTCAGGGCTGCCTCCTGGAAAAAGGATGTACTGCTTTAAGAAGGAAATGTAGAGGCTGGGAATGTGGCTTCAGTGGTAGAGTGCTTGCCTGGCAGGCATGAAGCCTTCAGTTGGATTCCTCAGCACCACATAAACAGAAAAAGCCAGAAGTGGCACTGTGGCTCAAGTAGTAGAGTGCTAGCCTTGAGCAAAAAGAAGCTCAAGGACAGCCAGTGCCCAAACCTTAAGTTCAAGCCCCAGGACTCACAAAAAAAAAAGGAAGTGTACTGTCATCAGCCACATATTGACAAGCCGTTAGGACTTTGAATACAGCAGGTCCACTGTGCCACCATTGGTCACACAGAGGAGGGTAGAGCACAGGGAGGGACCCAGGAGAGAAGTCCAGGCCCTTGTCCACTTCTATCTGCCTTGGCTATACCAGGTACTGGCTGTGTCACCTATTACCTGGGCTACCACATGACCACCTGGGTCATAGCACAGCTGATACACTTTGGAGCAGATGGATGGCAAGACTCCATTGGAACTAGCAGGACTCACCTTGCATTAACCCCTGACAGAGGCCTGCTGGCTCCTCTGAACCCACGGCCTTGTGTCTAGGATGACTTCCAAGCTTGACTTTTGTGTCCAGAGATGACTTACAGTCACTACAGTCCCACTATTGTCTGACCTAAGTCCTTTCTGCCTGTCTGGATTACAGTCTACCCTGCCCTACATGTTTCTGGCTGCAAAGCTTGTTTTGGTTCAGCCCTCCCCACAGACAGGCCCAGACCTAAGTCCCTTGCGTGTCCGCCCCTCACCTTCTGCTTATCTGAACTGTAGTTGAGGCAGGCCTGGTGCATTGCCTGCGGCATGGCCTGCTCGCTGCTGTTCCATGCCTGAGTGGTCACTGACACGCAGAGCTGGCACTCGGAGTCTTGCAGCAGCCCCTCTTCTGCCAGAGATCCTAGAGCTGGGGGGGCTAGAGAGAAAACAGCCAAATCTACCCTGCAGAAATTCCAGGCTGGGGGGGAGGGGAGAAGAAGGAGGAAGAGGGAGAGAAGTCGGGAGGAGAGGAGGGAGAGGAAGAGGGCAAGAGGGAGGTAGAAATGAAAGGGGAGGGGTGGAGAGGAGGAAAGAAGTGGGGGTTGCATAGCCAGGACTGCAAAAGGACAGTGGCCAATGGGGTCAGTGGGGACAGTGGGTGGGGTAGCATGAGGCTCACCTGGGACAATACCATTCTCAGTGGTGCATCGCAGGACAAGGCCGCAGACCAGCTGGGGCAGCATGCGACCCAGCAGTACATCCAGCAAAAGGACTGTGTAGCGCTCAGCCAGGCACTGACAGATGCCACCCACCACCAGGGGTACCACGTGGCACACCTGGGCCACAGCCACAGCCAGCACACCCTGGGATGGAGGTGGAGAGAGGGCAGCGTGGGACCTTCCCATGGCAAGATTCTACCCTGTCCAGTGCCAACCAAACACACACACACAACACACACACTCACACATCTATCTATCTATCTATCTATCTATCTATCTATCTATCTATCTATCTATCTATCTATCTATCTATCTATCTATATCTTACTCCCTTTCCAAGTAAGGGCATGGAGGATAAAGAACTAGGAGATTCAGGGGACACCTGAGTGAGTGATCATCCAGCAGTTCCTGGCTTGCCCAATGGGATGTGGCTAGCCAGAGAAAGGCGTGGCTAAGGCCACCAGCAGGGATGTGGACCCCACTAGTGTGATGCCTTTCCAATGGGGTATTTCACCAAAAGCATCCACGCACATTCAGCCTTTGCTCCCGCTCTGACATGACTCCTGGTTTTTGCTGTCAAAGGCCAGGCTGCTCAGTCCACCGAGTCCTTACCCTGCCTCATCTGGGAGTATCCTCTCTCGGCCTCAAGAACTCTCCAAGGTGAACTGGTGAGCATGCTAACATGACTCCACTGACACTTGTGGCTCCCTTCCCTTGTCTCTGGAACCTATTCCATTTGGGCTCTGTCCCCACCACTCCTTCAGAACACTGGCCAGGGTCACTCACAACCTGCCTTGCCATATCTGCGGGACACCCCTATGCCAGCCCAGGACTTGAAATTCAGGGCTTAGGTACGATCTCTAAACGTGTGCTTAAGGCTAATGTTCTAACACTGAGCCTCAGTTCCACTTCAAGCCCAGGCTGGCTTCAAACCTGGATCCTCGGATCTCAGCCTCCTGAGTGTCTAGGATTTCAGGTGTGAACCACCAACTGATAATGCTATAGCACAGGTAATGCCCTTCTGAAATGCCTTCTCTTGGCTTTGTGCCACACCATGGTCCCCCCACCCTCCGTCCCTGTCCCCAGCTCTTCTCCCTCAGCTTTTCTGTTGCTATCTCTCCTCTCTTTTATCTGGTTCTTCAGTTCCACCTCTGCATATTCTGTTCCTTGTTGGCCTTCCTCCTCCTTTGATTTTTCATCTGGTTCACTCTCAGCTTGATCTTGCTGCTTGATCTTTTCCCCAGAGCTTTATGTCCAGCCACTTGCTTAACCTCTCTCTGCATATGGCACATCCAATTTAACAAGGAAGAACACCGTTTCCTCTCAACTGTTCCTATTCAGCCAGTGGTGTTATCAGTGTGTGTGGGTCATAAGGATTGCTCTCATGCCCTCACTCCTGCAGACCATCCATTGGTAAGCCCAGTCAAGCCTCCCTCTCCAACATACCCCCATCTACCCTCTTAGCTCCATCCTGCCCACCACCCCATTGTGACTGTTCTTCAGTAATCTGTTAAATTTCTTGCCTGATTTTATTTTGCCTCCTACCTGCCCAATGGAGTGTGTGTGTGTGTGTGTGTGTGTGTGTATTTGTGCATGTGTGCACGCTGGGGCTTGAACTCAGGGGCTGTCCCTTAGCTTTTTTGTTCAAGGCTGGCACTACCACTTGAGACACAGCTCCACTTCTGGATTTTTTTTCTTATGTGGTTAATTGAAAATAAGATTCTCTCAAGTATGCCTTCTTGGGCTGTCATTAAACCATAATCCTCAGATCTCAACTTCCTGAGTAGTTAGGATTACAGACATGAGCATGGGTGCTTACCTTCCCATCTATCTAGCAGCAAGAGTGATCTTTCTCCTTGATGTAATTCTGCACTAGCTATAAATGACATTCAGAATGGTAGCCTTTGTCTTTTTTTTTTTTAACTTGTCTTAACAAGGTCTGGATGGCATGATTGGGCCATCTCTCTTTTGCTGGTCCTCCTGCTTCAGCCCCTTTGGCTGCCAAGCTCATTCTTGCTCTAGGCTCTTGGTCGATTGGGGCCTTGTCTTCTCAACCTAACTGTCACCTCCTCAAAGCCTCTCTCTGTCTTATCAGCCTGATATCACTGTTCGTCCTTACCCTCTGCTATGAATCCTTAGTGGCCAGAGGGCAGACAGGACCTTGTTTGGCTGGGTTATGAGAGAGGGCCTCTCTGGGCTGAGGGGTTATTGGGCAAAAGCCAATACAGATTTGGGTAACTCAAGTCAGACGCTGGCCATGTTGGGAAGCTTATCTGTGGACATTCTCCCTTTGAGAATTAAAGCATCTTTTCTACAGAGACAACTGGAGATTCTTTGCCATTAGATATTGAGCTGGGGCAGACAAGGCTGAGCCTTACCTATTCTCATATATCTGAGCCTTGGGATTCCTTGGGTGGGGACAGTGCACAGATGGCTCCTCTCCTAACTGTGGCAGAGCTGGACTGTACAGAGCTGTGAATGGGCAAAGGTGGAGCTGGGAGAGGTTCACCCAAGCTCCATGTGTGCTGGTCGCCTCACCTTGGGGATCACGACTTGGACTCGCTTGAGGAGAGTCTTGCAGAGCCAACAGTAGGGCAGGGGGATGGGGAGCCGCTGCTCAGAGAGGTCCTGTGCGAGAAAACAGAGTGGAGGGCTGGGAGCTGGGAGAAGGCATCCTGAGGGCCTTGCCTGCCCCGCCTCCTCCTCCCCTTCTCTCCTTCCTGACTTAGGCTCTGTCCCAAACTTCTAGTGCCTTCTGGCTCTTCTCCCAAGTGCTCACGAGGCCTCAGCTGCCACTCTAACCCTGTTGTTTCTCACCTGACTTCCTTACCTGAGTATGAGGCCCAAACTGCTTAAAGATGGTCCCTTGCAGCATAGGGAGGGACAGCTTGTCTGGTAGAGGGTCAGGTAGAGAGTCTGCCACCCCTGGCTCCTGCTCTGTCTCTGGCTGCCCAGACTGGCACAGGCCCACATGGCGGCAGACAGTCTTTGGGGTCTAGGGCACAGTGAGGATGGGGGGCTGTTAGGCTTATGCTCAGGCTGGTCCAAATGCTCAGAGACAGGGAATCAGGGAGGTGGGAATGATGTGTCCCAGGGCTCCATGGAAAAGGGGATGGAAGGCAAAGATGGGCAGGGGGGTGGAGGAAGGGGGAGGGAGGAGAGACTTGGAGAAGGTGCCTAGGAATGTGTGTGAATGGTTGTGAGTTTGGGTGTGAGAGAGGGGGGATGTGTGAGTCTCTATAAAGAGTGCAGGCTGCTGTGCGCTGCTGAGCAGGTAAAGCTCTGACCTAGGTTCGTGACTGAAGAGCATGTTTCCTGGGCCTGTTGTGGAATGGTGTGTGTGTGTGTGTGTGTGTGTGTGTGTCTCTATCTGGGTGCTGTGGAAGTTGTGTGTATGTGTGTGTGGGGTGGATGCACACACACACACACACACACACACACACACACACACACACACACACACACGTATCCCTAGGGCTTTGTCCAAGTGGTGGGAGGGCAGGTCGGGGCCTCACAATCTGGCTCTGGAAGTAGTCGATGACCAGGGGGAAGTAGACTTCAAGCACATGGCGGCACTGGGGCACTAGCAGCTTCAAGGGGAGGCCGTCACACTCATGCTCCAGGAACTTGCGAATTGTGTCCTGGGAGGACAGAGAGGAATGATCAGCTTGGCCTTCCCAAGGCCTGTTTCCATCTGAGTGTCTTGCTGCAAAGCTGCCACCAGAGAAGATTGGCCCACTCTGCTGGGGCACTATAGGACCCTCCTCGTCTGGCAGGGCCATCTGGCTGTGGCTGAGCTCAGTCCCAGGGCCTGCTTTGGTCAGGAGTGTGGAGTTGCAGGCTTCACCTTTGACCTGGAAATGCCCTCTGTTTTGGTCTTCATCTCTTGTTCCCTAAACTCTATTCAGGATCTGGGCATCTTTACCTGGAAAATGGCCTCCTTAGCCACCTTTGTAAGGATGCGGATGATGTCTTCACACTCCTGGCATAGGTCATCCTGGGGCGGTGGGGGGGGCGGCAAAGTGGGGATACATGAGTAGAGTAGAGAGGGAGGCTCTCTTGTGCAATTGCTGACAAGTACCTCCAAAATACCGGCAACTGCCCACCATCCCACTCCATCCACCTTACTCTAGCCCCACTCTATGCCATCACATAAGCCTCTTAGGCCCGTTCAGAGCCCACCCAGCACCCTCCTTCCCAGACCCCCACTGTAGCCCTTGGATGACACTCACAGCTTCCACATGCCCCCAGACTTCCTGCAGGCAATGCCCCAGGGCTTTACACTGCACAGCTTGCTCCAGGTTTTGGCACCAGAACTCGGGACCCTGGGCACAGGCCGGGGATGAAGTGGTCCAGACAGCTACAGTTTGGAACCAGAGCAACTTTTATCAGAAACCACCTTACACATGCCACCCTGATTTTACCCAGCCTCAAATTCCATTTTGCTGCAATTGTATGGCCATCACACATGTCAGACTGTGCTAAGTCTCCTTCCAGGATGTACTATTTCTTTTTTTTCTTTTTTTGTCAGTGATGGGGCCTGAACTCTGGGTCTGGGCACTGCACTTCAGCTCTTTAGTGCAAGGCTAGTGCTCTACCACTTGAGCCATAGTTCCACTTCCCGCTTTCTCTGCTTTTGTGGTGCTGAGGAATAGAACTCAGGGCCTCATGCATGCAAGGCACTCTACCGCTGAGCTACCTTCCCAGCCCCACCTGGGAGTTTCTAGGCCTTAGTTGTCATGAGTTGGGCACTAGTGACTCATGCTTGTAATCCTAGCTACTTGGAAAGCTGAGATAAAGAGAATCTCTAGTTAGGACCAGGTTGGGTGAACAGTATATATGCCCCAATTTTAACAGAAAAGAGCCGGGGCCAGGTGCCGGTGGCTCATGCCTATAATCCTAGTTACTCAGGAGGCAAAGATTTGAGAATCATGGTTCAAAGCCAGCCTTGGCAGAAAGTCTATGAGACTCTTATATCTAATTAACCACCAGAAAACCAGAAGTGGTGTTATGGCTCAAAGTGGTAGAGCACTAGCCTTGAGCAAAATAGCTCAGGTACAGCACCCAGGCCCTGAGTTCAAACCTCTTGACTGATGAAAGCAAGCAGGAAGGAAGGAAGGGAGGGAGGAAGGAAGGAAGGAAGGAAGAAAGGAAGGAAGGGAGGGAGGGAGGAATAACTAAATAAACTAAAGCCAAAAGGGATGGAGTCTGGCACCAGTGGCTCATCCTATAATCCTAGCTACTTAGGAGGCTATGATATGATAAATGAAGTTCAAAGCCAGTCCTGGGAAGACAAATCAGAAAGATCCTAATCTCCAGCAAAAAGCTGAAAGTGGGCTGGGAATGTGGCTTAGTGGTAGAGTGCTTGCCTAGCATGCATGAAGCCTGGGTTCAATTCCTCAGCACCACATACACAGAAAAAGCTGGAAATGGTGCTGTGGCTCAAGTGGTAGGTACTAGTTTTGAGCAAAAGAAGCTCAGGAACAGTGCCCCGGCCCTGAGTTCAAGCCCCAGGACTGGCCAGAAAAAAAAAAAGCTGAAATTGGAGATGACTTAAGTGGGATAGTACCAGTTGACTAAAGAAGCTGAGCAAGTGCATGAGGCCCTGAGTTCAAGCCCCAGTACCAGCACATGTACAAAACAGGGCTGTAAACAAGTGCTTAGTAAGCACAAGGCCCTAGTACTTAAAAAAAAAGATCAGGATTATGTACAGACTATCCCAAGTCTGGGCAGAGCTAGTGCTCAGTAAGTGGTAGAGATGCCTCCATGACAGAGGCTGGGGAGACTCACCAAAGCCTGGACCACACAGCATGAGCAGCAGCAGCAACCATGGCAGCAGGTATGACTTGGCCATGGCACCTGCAACCTGGGCATCCTGCTTGGGGCAGGGACCCTTATAGCTGGGGGTGGGAGGTGGGGGTGGAGAAGGCCTGGGGAAAGGACTTGAAGGGAGCAGCATTGACCTCCGTGTTTGCCTGGGTCCTGGAGAGCTCTCCAGGTGCTTTGATCCCGCCTCTTCCCATCAGGAACTCTCCTGCCTGCCTTTGCCCTGTCTTGGCCCACAGCCCGACCCTCCTCTCTTTGTTTCCCCACCAGCCCCCATAGTCCAGGAGTCCTGGTTCTCTCCAAACAAGGGGCCTCCACACTTGGTCCCAGTAATCTGGGCTTTGGAAGGGAAGATGAGGCAGGGCCACATTGAGGGATAATGTGGGGCCCCCCACTCCTTCTCCCCCAGACGCACTCCATTCCTCTGCTCTTGAGCAATGCTTTGAAGAGCTTCCTGCCTGGCTCTTGATCTAGAGTAAGCTCCGGAAGGGCAAACTCTGGACCCTCCTGCTGCCACCTACCTCCCACTCCATCCTTCCCCTTCCCCCTAGACACGTGATTGGCAACGGGCAGAGAGTGTTTACATGAAATGAAAGAATGCCATGAGTGCCCGAGACAGGGATGGGGGAGATTGAGATTTCTGTGGGCCAAAATGGCTCTCAGCCTAGTCAGGAGCTGCTGCCCATGGCTTCCAGGGACTCCTCCAGAGCACAGCTAATGGCTCAGAGATGGTCTTTTGAGGACTCATCTGGGTCCCCCCTGGGCACACTGGAGTTAAAACTCCCAGGATGCTGTGGGGCAGTCACTGTTGGAGAGTAACACTCATTGCTGGAGCTCTGTATCTGGTGGAAGATCCCAGGCCTCTGGGTGCCAGGAGCACCTCCAGGGCTCATGGGGAGGGAGAGTAGGAGCTTGGCACCTGAAGAACATAGTTGGACACAAGATGGTAAAAAAAAACGACACATTCAAGATCACTCAAAGCTTCATGTGGTTTCTGTTGGCCTCAGGCCCTTGTTACTATGACAAACAGAGTTGCCATTGTGGGAGTTAACCAACAGTGTGTGAGAATGTGTGAACCAAAGATTGGGAACCCAGCAACTTGCATAAATAGCTAGGGTGGTGGAGCTGGAATGTGCTAGTATGTGTTAAATGTCTATGAGCCAAGGGGCTGAGAGGTTAGTTCAGGGGGAAAGTGTGGATTTAGCATAAACGAGGCTCGAGATTCCATCTCCAGCACCCAACACGCAAAAAACTAGATGAAATAAACAAATGAGCTGAGCTGTGTCCTATTTGGATACAATCAGGGCAAAGGGGTTTATGGATGGGCCCTCCAGGATTATATTGGCCAGGGAACGATAGTACCCAAATCCCTTCAAGCTCTCCTTGCATACATGATTCCTTCTCATTTGCGTCACTGGGCAGAGCAGGTTAACTTCAGGTGGGGAGGTTCTGTTCTACATGGCCATTCAGGGGCCTGGGCCCCTCCCTGTGCTTGCTCAGTCCTTCCTGGGTCCCTGCAAGGGATGGAGAGAAAGAGTACGAGGTAGTGAAGGAAGTTTTAGGGACCAGGGCTGAGAGTGGTGGTCTTATTGCTGCCCACCTCAGTTAACATGACTCCCACTTAATCCCAGGGGAGGGCGAAATGCCATGTCTCATATGACAATCAGGAAAGGGTAATGGGATCGGTGGGTAGGAGGGGGTCTCAAAACCTTCATATCAAAGGCAAACCTGTAGAGTTTTCTGGATGAGGGGTCCAGACTTCCATCAAACCTTAATAAGAGCTCTCCATACCGTTGAGAGCTGCCGGTCAAGAGCACAAATACAGGAAACATAAAAAGCGAGCCTTTTATAATTCCTTTAGTAGACAGCCCCTGGCTCGGCATTCTCTGGTTTATTCTCTCTTTCACCGTCTCTGTTCAGAATTGGGGTTCCTTTGGGGCCTAGCCGCAAGGAAGCCTGATGGGACTGTCTATGCCGTTGTCACTGTAAATGAATAAACATACCACAGAAGAGGCATTGGTCATGAAGGCATATAGCTCTAATCCCAGCACAGGAGGATGAAGCAGGAAGATTATGAGTCTGAGTCCAGCTTGGGGCTACATAGCAAGAGTGTTTCTAAAACAAAACAGCTGGGTGCTGGTGCTCATACCTGTAATGCTAGCTACTCAAGAGGCTGAGATCAGAGGATCATGATTCAAAGCCAGCCAGGGCAGGAAAGTCTATGAAACTTATTTACACTAAACTACAAAAAACCAAAAAACCAGAAGTGGAGCTGTGGCTCAAGCGATAGAGCACTAGCCTTGGAGCAAAAAAGCTCAGGGTCAGCACCCAGAACCTGAGTTCAAGCCCTAGGACTGGCACTAACCAACCAACCAACCAACCAACCAACCAACCAACAGCAGCAACAGAACCAAGAACGGAAGAGATAAGGAATAGAAAAGAGGCCATTCTGACAGCTGTTGCAGGTGGCAGAGCATGACTAACTAGCCTGATTGACAAGAGACAGCTCCCTTCCTGGTGTGAGGGATGGAAGGGAACTTTGTTTCTCTTTGTGACTATGGACAGTATGAAGATCCCAGCCGTGGGACCTAAGATCTGGAGGCTGAGACAAAACAGGATCCATAAAGTGTCACGTTTTATATTCAAATCCCTTCTGTCTGTTGTGATTGAACAGTGGAATTTCTTTGTGTTCCTTTTGTGGCATTTCAGGTTGTCTTTCTCTGCTGGTATTCTGGCCTATGTCTTTCCTCCTCTTACCCATCCCTACCCTTGAGTAGTAGTAGTTGTTGTTGTGCTGCTGCTGCTTCTTCTTCTTTTTCTTCTTCTTCTTCTTCTTCCTTCTTCCTTCTTCCTTCTTCCTTCTTCCTTCTTCTTTCTTCTTCTTCTTCTTCCTAGTACTGGGGATTTGAACTCAGGGCCTTGTGCTTGCTAGGCACAGGCACTCTACTGCTTGGGCTACACCCCTAGATCCTCTTGCTTATGAAAATGTAGTATCTGTTTTAGGGGTAGGGACTATGGAATATCAAATGGTAACATCACCCCCTGGGGAGTGTCTCTTAATAGTCTTCTGGAGTATAGTCTCTTTCTTTTACTTTCAAAAATTTTTTTTTCTAGAGGATAGGAGAGGAAGCAATGAAACTTTGTTTGTGATGATCTTTGACTAAAACCTAGTTAATGAGCTGGGTATGGGAGGATAGTGAGTGGGTGTATGTGGGTAGAATGCTGAGCAGTAATCAGTATGGGGCCTGAATACTAGGCCTGGGGAGGAGAGACTCTTTCAAGGGCAGGACCACTGAATGGAGACTAGGAGAAGCACAGGAGTTGGCCTGGTAAAATGGGGAATGGGGAAGCATTCACTCTTGCAGACTCACACCTGTAATCCTCGCTACTCAGGAGGCTGAGATCTGAGGATCTTAGAAGCCAGCCTGGGCAGGAAAGGCTGTCAGACTCTTACCTTCAATTAAACACCAAAAAGCCAGAAGTAGAGTTGTGGTTCAAATGATAGAGCACTAATCTTGAGCAAGAAAAGCTCAGTGTCCCTAGGACTGTGTGCGTGCACGCATGCACGCGTGCGCTCACACACACACACACACACACACACACACACACACACACAAAGAGTTCAAGCTATAGTATTGGCACCAAATAAATAAATTAAATTAGATTTTTTCCTCTGGGGAAGTGGCTTTCCTTCACTGATATGGGCCACTGTATTATTTAGAGGGCTTTTGATTACAAGCATTAGAAGACTTAGCTCATTTTGGATGATAAAAACAAAACGATAATTTCTTGTTCAAATAATTAACCAAAGCCTGCCATTGGGGGCTCATGCCTATAACCCTAGCTTTTTTGGGAGGCTGAGATCTGAGGATCTTGGTTCAAAGCCAGCCCAGGCAGAAAAATTTGGGACATATCTCCAATTAGCCACCAAACAGAAGTGGAGCTATCGCTCAAGTGGTAGAGTGCCTTGAATAAGAAAGCCAAGAGAGTGTGAGATCCTGAGTTCAAACCCAATACCATCACAAAAATCAAAACAAACAAAAAGCAATAATTAACCTGTCCACAGACAGCTTCTGGTACAGAATGATCCAGAAACACATGGCATCAGCAGCAGAGTTCCTGTTCTATTTTTTCACAGTTTCCAGTTCTTTCCACTTCTCTATATTGATACTGGCCTGAGGCTGGCTTCCTTCTTGGCAGCAGAAATAATTTTGAGGTGCAGCCCTCTCATCTTTGCAGCATGGCACTCGGAGGGAAAGAGGACTCCTTTGGCAGTCCTGATCACCAGTAACCAATTACAGGTGTGAGTCACCAGTGCCTGGCAAACATTCTTTGATGATACTTATCTTCATTTTTTCCCACAGCCCTTTCTGTCTCCCCTTCCTCCTATACACTGGGCATTTAAACTATGTGATGGAGCAAATCTGGCTATCTGGTCACCTTTTCTACTTCACTGCAGGCTTGTTATTGTTACTGGCTTGTTTGTTTGTCTAGTAATTGGCTGGATTACTTTAGGAACTGAGTTTGAAGACTGTGGTGCTCCTGAACCCTGGAGGCTTAAAATAGAGCCCCAGCCTGGCAACACTTTCCCAGTCTCTGACAACACCAAGCTGTTAAACTATACTAATTTCTGGCTGATGGTTCTATTGTTTTTAACAGTGCCTGAGGACATAAATAAATTGGTTTATAGAAGAAACCAGTTAACCTAGCCCTAGTCTGAGATTTGTTCAAAGGAACCCTCTTCACAGATGTCTTTTCCTCTCATTTATTTTCTTTTTTTTGGGGGGGGGGCGGTCGTGGGGCCTGAACTCTGGGCCTGGGTGCTGTCCCTCAGCTCTTCAGCTCAAGGCTAGCGCTCTACCACTTGAGCCACAGCGCCACTTCCGGCTTTTTTTCTTTTAGCTTATGTGGTGCTGGGGAATCGAACCCAAGGCCTCATGCATGCAAGGCAAGCGCTCTACCACTGAGCCACCTTCCCAGCCCTCTATGAGATTCTTATCTCCAACCAACCACAAGAAAAGTGGAAAT